GAGAGATGATGGTCCTATTCTCTCGATGGATGCAGGTCGGACTGCAGCGGCGACACCCTCCAACGCCATTGGCAAATATATAAATAATCCTCCTGGAGCACGACAGGAGAGATTGCATCAAGCATGGCTCGAGCCCCCGATACGCATTAAAAAAAGGTTGGAAAACAAAGCGGCGGACGAAGGACCTGGACGAGGTATATCGATGATGTCTAACCTCTAGAACACGTGGCGACTTAACTTGTGTTGGCGATTATTGCTCATCGAATGATATATTTTGTGTTTTTGTAGATCGATGAGGACTTGAAGGAGGAAAACGCGAAGAAATTATTGAATCAGAAAGTGGATTTTGATAAGCCGGGAGCAGCACAGCATTATTGCATCCACTGCGCGTAAGTTCGCAATATCGCGACCTAACCTAATTTTTTATTAAAAATAATTAAATTTAGTACTCCATTGATTACTACTGGGAAAACTTTAAAATATATAAAAAATATTTTCATTAAATATTTTACGAATAATATTGTTATATATAATATTTTCATGTGAGATAACGCATTTTATATTTAGAATATTTCTCTTAAGATACGTTAAATTTTACATATAAATTGATGTTGGGATGCATTCAAAAATAATACTCGAATGCACTTAAGTATATCATTTTATCTTTGCTTAACATTTGATTAATGACGAAAATAAAATGATATATCTATAATGTTTCTAAACAGCTTTGCCTTATGTTTATAAAATACAATTTGATATATATAAAACATACATTTATATAACTGTTAGAGAACAAAAACAGTATTTCTCAAATTCATTATTGAAACATTATTGAAACTGTCAAAACTTAAAGACTTTAATTTGATTTTAGGAGGTATTTTATAAACGATATTGCTTTGCATATTCACTTCAACACTAAAGCACACAAACGACGATTGAAAGCACTCGAGTTGGAACCATACAGTATTGAAGATTCTGAAAAAGCGGCAGGCAAAGGAAGCTACATTACACCACAAAAACGTAAAATCGAAACTGTGACTCGGAAGGACTTTAATAAAAAGAATATGGATTCTGAGCCTGATGTGAAAATGATGAAAATAAATGAATAGTTATATGAAATTATTTCATATTTTTATTGTGACGTGAAAAAAAATCTAGATAGAATGGCCAATAATTTGTATAGATTCACTCATGCTTTAAAGCACACACATAGAATTTTGATTCACAATGTTCGTCGAGGAGCTTTCTTTCCGATGAACTTCAAGAAAAATTACAGTTCGGCACTTTATATTTCTGGCAATAACGCTTACAAATCATTTGCGTATTTATCGCCGTACTTAGATTTCGACGAAAAATTTGGCAATTTGGACAAACTGCAGGAAAATCTAACGTCGCGCGGAATAGATATAGACGTTATTCAACTGAAAGAAGCATGGAATTTTTATCTGCAGATGGTCGCGGATAGATACGCGTTGGAAGACCACAATACAAAACTCGCACAACGCTTAAGAAGTTTGCAGGAGAACACTGAGCGTACTGCCGAGCAGGAACAAGAAATACTTAAATTACGCACTCAGCTTAATGTCGTACGGCAAGATCTAAAAACGGTAAAGGAAGTGATCTGGGATCTGGATGAAGATGTGATATGCAGAATTTTGAAATTACCAAATGAGTTAGATCCTAGGACACCTGTTGGCGAATCGGTAATATTGAAAAGTGTTGGCAATGTGTCCGACATATCAGAAAAAAACAGGAAGAGTCATATAGAGATCGGAATGAACCTAGACCTGTTAGAGTACAAGAATCCTCTCCATTATTATTTATGCAATAACGCGGCCTGGTTCGAGCTCGCTGTGTTAGCACACGCAGGTCGAGTTTTCGACGAAAATAATATGATCAGAATGGTTGGTACAGATTTTAGCCGTAGTCTTCTGGTAGAAGCCTCTGGTTTGGATCACGAGGATCCCATGGTTGCTTTCATGATAGAGAATCATAACGAGGTCGAAAGAGGCTCGCCGAATCGCATGCATTTAGTTGGCGGCGCAAACTTGATTTCTTTCCTAGCGTTGCATACGAAACAGTTGATTAATCCCAAATATTTACCACTTAAGTATTTTGCCACCGGTAGACAGTACACACCATTGCCGCGAGATTCCCCCACCTGTGGTTTGATAACGGCATGCCAGGCGTCCGTGGTGCACACCTTCGTCGTTGTAAAAGATGCAAAGAATGAAGATTATAATATGCTATTCGAAGAACTCAAGGAAATCGTATGCAAGTTATATGACGATCTATGCGACCATTATCGCGTTGTGATACGACCTATATCCGAATTACAAATCTGCGAGGAAATGCGCGTATCCTTCGAGCTGTGGTCGCCGTTTATGAATCGCTACATTGAAATCGGTCACCTATCCACGTATGGCGATTATTTTAGCAAGAGATTACTGATCGCCTATCAAACATCCACCGGCAGAAGCTTTCCCGCGGTAATATCTGGTACTGTTCTCTCTGTTCCACGTCTACTAGCTTGTCTACTTGAACAAAATCCTGATAAATTTGTGATTCCATCAAAGATTTCTGAACTTATACCGTCGAATGATCCTATTACTATGTAAGTTAATAATTACAGGAATTTTGTTCAATTGATGTCATTGCCTTGTTTCGTTAAAATTTTGCATAAATGTTTCAAATTTATAAAAAATTCAACATTGCTATAAAATATAATGTAGCAACAAATCGATATGACATGAATTGTAAAATTTAAAAGATTATATTATATTTTTAGATTGAAATGTCACTAATGTGATGATGTCATTAATATAATAAACTAATTTAAGAAATATATACATAATATATATAATATATCTATACATTATCTGATTTTTGTGTAAAATACGAGCAGTGTTACCTAGTGTTACCAACAGAATTATTAGTGTTATTAGATTGCTATTTTACAAGGTACCGATCGATGTAATGCAAAACTTCAAAAGCCACTTCTACCATAATAAGTATGATAATCATCCATTCCAAACGAACATGATGACGATCGCTCAAATGCAACGACAAAATGCTCACCAATTCCACGCAATGATTTAATCTTTCGTTCATCACCTGCATAAATAATAGTATCTTAAGTAAATGCGAAAAATACAAATACCATACAAAAAATAATAAATATGTCTTAAACACTCACTCTCGTACGTTTTGCAATACTAAAATATCCGCAAATTTGTTGATACAAGTTTTCCAAGTCGTCTCGTTCCCAGTAGAAATCTGGCGTGTCTAACAGATCCGACGTTAAATTAATCCGATGTCTGAGAGCAAACAATTCGCCCTGTTTCCTTAGTACTTCTTGCTGCGTCATCTGAAGTTTCTTGCCAGTTTTTAGATCCTCTGTGACAAATTCGATTGAATCTACATAACGATCTAATGATGCTTCCCATATGCCTAACTTGACTGACTGTGCCATGGCATTGGAAAACGTGTACTTGTCCAGAATCCCAGCTTGTTGCGCCAGAATAATATCACCATCCTTCAAGTGGCTTTTTTTCCTGTTAGATTTCAGGAATTACTAAATTTATTTTTTAAGAACATTCAGTCATTTCTGTCTACGATTCATTTTATATATAGATCTCACGAAAAACAAAAATGAAAGAAAAAAAGGTACCCGGGATCCGTATAAGTATAATTCATTAACTCGCTTTCGGTATGAACCATCTCTTCTTTGTAACGATTTTGCTCGTAACGTCTTAAAAATTGCAATAGGTTGCCGCATTCGAGATCGGAAATATTCCACATAACAATGCTACCTTCTCGAAAAAAAAGATCTCTCGAGGCTCGTGTCCTATGTCGTACTTGGCCACTGCATGTATAACATCAGGTAAAGCTGTAAAAGAAAAATATAATCCAAAATGTACAAATTAATTAACTCTTATTCAGAAGTAGCAACAAAGATTTTACAATCTGATCTAAATAGGAAAAAAATCTTCATTGGTAAATAAATATGCAAATTTAATCAATATATTTTTACATATATTTTCATTGTGCATACAGATATAAATGCATACAGATATAAATGCATATTAAAAAAATTTTAATTTTCATGAATATCAAACTTATTGAAGTATTGCTACAAGAGATAATGAAAAGCGAATGATACTGTAAGATAACTGCGGAACACATAATATAATTTTTACAGTGCAATTTATATTGCGCTGTCAGTCGATTAAAAATGGGCTGTCGCAAACACCTCGCCCGGACGATACGCCGCCTTCGTTATCGGTGGATAATTTCGTTCTTAACATATGACCAGCTTGTTTGTTAACAATAATATTTTTATCATCTCCAATGATTACACCGAATATGCCTAACTCCGAAACCAACTCTTTTGTCTCAAAATCCATGCCGTTTCCATATTTCACAATGTAGTTTCTGTGCACTGGTGGATAAATTCGATCCATAAGAATCCAAGCTACTCGATCCCGCTCAGATTTCACAGATTCTAGGAAATCTTTGATATCCATTCCATATAGATTATTATTACCGCCTTCTCTCTGCGGCTTTAATACAAAACGCTGAGGATTCGAGATACCCATTTTTACAGCAGCATCCCCATGTTCGTCAAAGTCCAGAGGATAAAGGCCTGAAACACCAATTTTTTTTTATTGATATATCATTTGTTTTTATTGCAGTTAAATATAATGCAATATGCAATCAACTTTTTTCCATAAATTATTTTGATATAAAAAAGAATAATCACTTACCAGTGAACACTTTTTTAACTTTTGTCATCATCTTCTCATCCTTTAAGAAACGAGCTACCATACCGGGCTTTGCGAGAATTTGTTGAACCTTCTTTGTGCCAGCTAAATGATATTGAATGCTCGGACATTTGATTGCCAATGACCTCTCAATCAGCAACCTCACATCCCATTCTTTTTCAGTGTGGTATTGACCGGGCTCGTAGCCAGATCTATAGTAAACTACTGCCACAACATGATTATTAACTATCAGTTCCATATGAGAACCTAGTTTTGCAGCAGCTGCCAATTGCGTTAAACTTCTGCGAATCACTTTTATATTCGGATTCTGCTTTCGTATTTCGTATTCGTGGAAACGTTGATCGCAAATATTATATGTTATGTCTTCGACAACAAATAAAATGACTGCTCTGTAAACAATCGCGTGTTCTTAAATATAAAAAAATCAAAACAATATAAAATCATAACAGAACATCAATAATAAACAATATCAATGTAGATAATGTAAAATAATATACTGGTAATTGACAGTATCACAAAACTGGATATACAAATTCATCAATTATTAAAAAATAATTTATAAAAATTAAAAACATACTGTGAATTATTATATAAATGCCAAGCCTGTATTAAGCCTGAACATAATGCTTGCAGTGCGTTATTTTCAGGAAGATTTTTCAACTCTGATGTATAGCTAAGCTCTTGCAAGATAAACTTGTGTAATTGCCTAGATACAGGTCCTAGCCAGCCAAATCCAGAAGCAATCGTATTTATCTCAACTTGCTTCCAGCAGCAATGAGACTTGAATGTTTCAGTATCTTCCTCGAAGCAACTTGTGTCTAACATCAAATCTGAGCGTAGCATACCGAGAGATATTTTCTGAACAGCTCCTTCTTTGTGAACAGTTTCATAGATCTTAAACAAGTTTTTAGTAAACTCGTCCACCTTTATCGTCTCTCGTAAAGTATCTTTCAAAAATTCGTAATCGTAAGCTACTTTGTGTATGAGTACATTCAAAATGATTTGAATATCGCAAGCGTTATAAAATTCTTCTCGAGGAAACGGCGATGGAAAAAGTGCGAACGGTGCGAATTGTAAGACGTCTCTGTCAAAATTTCTTTTCGACCTCGTGCACATCCCATTCATGAGTGCCCAATCCTTCGCTTTATCTACCAATTCCTCCAATTCTTCCTTTGACAAATCCAATGAGATAGGCAGTTTCATTGTCGCTTGTTTGTCTTCACACGTCATTTCAAGCTGAACTGTGCTTTAAGCTCAAACTTTACATACAAAGTGTATTCGTATTATTTTATCTTTTATATTTTTAATTAAAGCGTCAGAATTTATTTTTGGCGATATCACTTCATTTGATTATTCTTTGTTTATTGTATCATTACAAAATGATTAACCTCGCATTGTTATCTTCGTTGATAAAACAGATATCAGTTGCACCATCAGTCTTAATACAGTAATAAGCAGAATTAAACACATTCACGTCTACCGGCGATTCAGAGCAAATGAAAACGACTGATGATCGACTAATCGTCTGCTTATATATAAGAGCGTGTCAAGTGAATCAAACCGGAAACGGGAGCATTACAAACTTAAAGAAGTGATATAAATGACAAATACAATGACATGCAAATTCATCATCTCGAACAATCGCGAAATTTTGTGAAATCTTGCGCAATCATTTATATCATTGATATTATTTCGAAGAAACTTGAAACATTTAGAAATTTCATAGTAAATTCGATAGTCCACATTACACTAGATTAGTACTCACTATATGCTGCTATACATAAAATTATCGAAATGTAAAAGTGCATAAAAATATTTTAAATTATATAGTCAACAATGAATTTGTTGTGTTATTTATCAGGATATCAACATATTTCTTTGTTCATGTTGATTTTTAATTATAAAAAGAAATATACATCAGAAATATAATCATAAAACTAAAGTAATTTTCTGAATTTTATTAATACATAATTATGATGTATACTAAAATATTCATACCATAAGTCATTGGTGATTTTATAATAACTTTATAGTTTTTTTCATTATTATGGAATATTATTTATTTAACAATTATAATAAATATATTATATGGGTCATCAGTGACCTATGTGGCATGGATAATAGATTATATAAAATTGATGCAACATAGAATATATTAGAATATATTAATGATATTATCAAAGAAGTTATGGTAATGCATATAGATATCTCATATATAATCTCATAGAATAGTTGAATTTGCTATTAGCTAAAATAAAAATACTTACGAGTAGTTGACGTAGATATTTTGTTAGGAATATATAATTGTTGATCCAACAGGCCATAAGCTAAATTTTCCAAATCATATTCCTCAGCCGTGACTAAGGCTTTTACAGACCACGTCTATAAAGAAATTTCTTCTGTAAATATGTCCACTTTCTCTTTTTTTCTATTATAGACTTGCAACTCTATTCTAATTTCTTATGATAAACTTACATTAGGCTTTGGATTCTTAAACCCATCATTTATCAAGCTCCTGTTTCTTCTAGATGGTCTCTTTTTTATTTGTAATGTAGATATGTTGTCTGTGATACCATTCACGTTTTCCTTCAAGTGGAGCTTTTCCAAACAAATCATAGAATCGTGAAGATATCTCTTATGTGTTAGGCTCACGTCATGTACAGGAAACTCTGTTCTCGCTCGGAAAATGCTCAGGCATGGTACGATACGCCGGTATATATCAACATCAATTTTATGTCTGCAGCTCGCTATTACAAGCCTTTGAATTATCGCGATACTCATTTTATCAAAGTTTATTGTCAAAAAGTAATAGTGCGTATTCACGTGCAAACAGGTAGAAATACCTCCGGATTCTCTAGACAAAAGTGGAAGAAAATTGTGTCAACACTTTTAATATACACATACGTGTATTGTCATCTTGCAACGTAAAATATATTCACTGTCAATGTATTTTGTCAAGCCAACATCTTTATTAAGCATGTTGTCATTTTATGGTGTACATCGTTCTCATACTTGCATCATATCCGCGCGCGCACACACACTTATATGTTTATTCATCACAGAAAAATTGTGGCTGTGTCGTGGATAGATGTCAGGTTACTCTCCTAAAAAAAATGTTCTAGCGGAATTACACATTCGGAATTTCTCGACGAATGAGGATGTCTTTCACCATCTTTGATTAATTCAATAGGCTGATTATTCCATTGGAATTGACCAATCGCATTTGTTGTTAAATTTGTTGATAAAATTAGACTAGGAATTGATATTGAGATTAGATTGGAATTTGATCAATCCGAACAAAGTTTACTAAACTTGAGATTAGTTTTCTTTTTTCTGATAGGTTAAATTTTAATTTAGGGTTGATAGAGACCGTAATCTGTTAACTTATGCCGTAGCCGTAAAAAATTGACGAATCATAGTCGATTATTCTTCTATAATTCGATTGTGATTGGTTAATTTTTTAGATTATGGCCTCCATAAATCAACCCTAAAGGCTATTGCACGTGAAAAAATTTTAATCGTAAGATCATAAGCAAATTGAAATCAGAATCAATTATTTTCCTTATAGTCTAAAAATAATCGATTATGTATTTGGTCAATTCGCTTACGACCTTATGATTACTACTAAAGTTTTTTCACGTGCAATGGCCTTAAACCAACCCTACTTCACTGAAGCACAAATAACCTAATTTGCGCAAACGCGCATGTGCGCGCGCACAATATATTCCATTTATCAGAAGATACCGGAAGTCCTGGTCCCGACGTCTCTTGTGTTGTGCACGTGGATTGTGCTGGTGTACTGGTTCAGCGCTGATCAGTTTTACCATATACAAATTGATTATCTCGACCAGTACGAGGAATCAGTCATGGTAAATGGTTCATATAACATTAATTGGCAATTAAACAATTACTTTTTTCATTGAGATGATATATTTATAGCAGCCGTAAGATACAATCGGATACTGGTTAGGATTTAGGTTAGGTGCCTTCAAAAGTTGTTAAGCTTTGTGCTCTCGATGCCAGAAATCGATCCAGGACTCGGATAAAAAGAGAATTGATCAACCTGATCATTGATCGCACCTGAATAATCCGACCAATTGACCGTTGCAATTAATCGATTTTTTTTTCCATCCGAGATCTCTGATTTCTAGCATCAGAGACAAAGATATTTTCGATATCGATACAAATATTTTGATATGTATATGATATTAAAAAAGAACATAGTTATTAAAAATAAAATATATACAATGGAGAAAATGTATAGATCAATATTTTTGTATTTTTTAGGCAACGACTAAAGTCGACAATCCTGAAAAACCAGGACAAGAAGTCACTCCCATTCATCGAATTAGAATTACTCTCACGTCGCGCAATGTTCGTTCCCTTGAAAAAGGTGAATAGAATATTCGAAAATACTATTCATTTTATTAATTCATAAAATTTGATCTTTGTATATGAAGGTATAACCTTGGTATAAACCTAATGCTGAATAACTCAATGTTATTTCTGTTTGCTTTAGTATGCGCGGAATTGATCAATGGAGCTAAGAAACAGAAATTGAAAGTTAAAGGACCCGTTCGCATGCCCACAAAGATTCTGAGAATAACGACCCGTAAAACACCTTGTGGTGAGGGTTCAAAGACTTGGGATCGCTTTCAAATGCGAATTCATAAAAGAGTCATCGATTTGTATTCGCCATCAGAGATTGTGAAACAAATCACCAGTATTTCTATAGAGCCTGGTGTAGAGGTGGAAGTGACAATTGCTAATGAATAAAAGTGTCATTAAAACAAAGTTTTAATAAAAATGTAAAAAAAGATTCGAATCTATTATATCCAAATCATCTATTACATCTATTACATAAATATTATCAGAAGTACAATTTTATGTAAGTTTATATACGTTTTCTTTATCTTATCTTAGATTGTTTTCCTAGATTGAACTTAACGGATAATTCTGAAAAATTGGAATATAATTGGAGTTTTCATTTAAGAGTAAAAACACCTGTCTTCAGATCATTTATTATATACCATATATCAGTAGAAAATTTCATTTCTATAAATTACAGTATATTTTTTACACCATGTATTTTCATATTTAATGAAAAATCGCGTCGATATATCCAGCGAGGCAGTAGAATGCTCAATTAAATTCTAGCTGCGATTAAAAAACACATGCGAATATCTGACAGTTAACCGAATGTGTACTTTATTAATCTCACAAATTATATATTTATATTCAATTATCTTCATCGGACATATCTTCTTTATCATTCTGATCTATGCCTTTGCCATTCTGTTCGATACCTTTGCCATTATGCTCAGTACCTTCGCCACCGCTGAAATCACCCTCCATTCCTTCGACCTCTTCCTCATCGTCACCGGCAACTTCCGCATTTTCGAGTTCAGCTCGTTCCATTTGTCGTGCCAATTCCGCTTCATCTGTTGCGGTAACGACTTTTGGCTAATATTGCAAAGAAAAAATTTCTTAATAATACTCAAACGAATATATAAATGTTGTAAAACTTATTCATGAAACTTACTGCCATTTGCACATTGAATACACCTCCGAGGGATGTTATTTTATTCTGTATTACTTCGATCGCGTCACCTAATGCTTTTAAACCGTCCTGCTTTTCCGGTGTAGACGTCGTCATAACTGAAGATCCATTAAGAAACAATGTCATCACTTGATACATGTACAATTAATTTGAAAGATAATATAGAACGTACCATATAACGGAGGAGCAATTAAATTAATCTTTATGGGAAGTTCGTCAGTGGAAAGAGCTAAGCCAGCCTTTAGCGCAGTTTTCACAGCATCGATCCCTTCGTAGCCGTAACACGCTACTTCTACGTCTGCTCTAATTTTAACCGCTTGCGAGGTGAGTTTCCGCTTGATATTATTTAACAGCACCTCCTTTGTGTGTTCATCTAGACCACATTCTGCTAAAATGGAGGGATCCCTAAAATTATTTGTATCCAAAAATATGTATACATCCTGATACACATCCTTAAATGTTTTGTTATGTGGCTGAATTCTGCTTACAATACTGATTGTTTAAAAAAGTCATAAGCAGATGCCTTTTGCTTCTTGTATTTTTCTTCAAAATGCCAGGCCGTTTTCTGATAGAGCTCTTCTAGTTGATCATCATTATCATAGTGCAATAATTCTGCTACATGTCTTAAAATTGAATTAACAGCTTTAGCTTTAGCGTATCTCTCTGTACACTTCTCCACATCTTCGGCAGATACGCGACGCTTGCTTAAATCAATGTAACCTAAGACCATGATTTATTCATATTATAAAACATTACAAATTATAGATCTGTTCTTTATATGCAGTGAACTGTTAAAATTTTTTTTCTCATTTCTGTCATATTTTAAACATATATCTATTTCATTTTTTAAATATAGGAAAATACAACAATTATAAAAAAAACAAATCTTATAGATGAATAATAAAAAAAATTTGCACTCACCTTTTTCCTTATCTACACGAATCACGACAACCGGTTCGGTTTTACCTACTCGAATAAGCTTGTTAATAGATCTGATACGTCTCCTGGAGAGTTCGGAAAGCAGGATCATGCCTTCAATGTTGTTATACTCCAGTAAATGCACATATGCACCCATCTCGGCAATGCTGCGTACGTTCACCATTACCACATCCTCCACCTCCGGATACTTCTCCTTGTAAAATCGACACGATAACACCATGTCTCGCTGTGAAAATATACAAAAATGTACAACATCGCACCATTGAGAATAATATTGCAGAGATAACAGGATGGATGCATGGGATATGCCATTTGGCATAAATTTATCATCGACAATCATGAAATATGCGAGAGGAACTTTTAGATGGGATGTTTATCCGAGAAATAGAGGTGACAAGTTAACTCGTAGGTTAACATCCCAGGAAGGTGATAAAAAGCGTAATTATCACACTGATTCTCTACCTTAAATTAGTATACTCTCGTAAAGACGAATTCTTCGTTGGTCCGTAACGAACTGTATAGGTTTAGAACCGTAAGAAAAATCACACAAATGATTCGTCAAAGACCCATGTGCGGGCTGGGCTAGTGGAGCACGAAGTAGTACGAAACGCTGTCCGACCTAACCTATTCGTGTGACGATGACGTTTCAACACGCGTCGTCGTTCCCATGAAGATGCGCTCTAGTGACAGCGTCCAATGAGAAGACTCAGCTTTATAAAACGCGAATGGGTCCGTCTGGACAGATCTTAACCGTTCGTTTACACGAGATATATGTAACACTGTCTCCAATGACAATCATTTTCGTGCGTGGGTCCCCTGATATCGTTGATCGCGCCGCGCGATATGTCACGATCAGGTTAGAGGACGGCAGCGACGTTACGATGGTCAACAACGGTGGCAACGGCGTGACGATGACGGTAACACGCGTTGTCACGGATCGCGCATAATCCGGATCGAGAATTTTGGGCTGCCACGCGAGAATAAGAACGACCGAAGAAGCGCCGTTGTCCTCCATGAGGGAGCCCTATTGAGACCTATTGAAAGAAGACGACGACGACAACAGCAAGGATAATCCATCTGGGAAAGTGGAAAAATGCCGTTAGTCATAAGAAATTGCCCGCATTTGGCCAACCACGGCGATCTCGCCTTCATCGAGGCAGTGATGGCCCGGGAGGAGCGCTTTGTCAAGTGCAGCGACTGCGACACTCCGGGGCCCAACCTCTGGCTCTGCCTGTTTCCCGATTGTCGTTGGGTTGGCTGTGCAGAGACACACCTTGACCATAGCACCATTCACAATCAGAACTTCCCGACCCATTGCGCCCACATCAACCTATCCACCAACAGGATCTGGTGTTATGCCTGCAAGAGCGAGGCCATCGCCAAGCATGTACCGTCGCCTCCATTGTCACCGACACAAGTGGAATTCAAGACTATGGGCAACAAATTTGCTGGGGATGCACCTGGCAGCGTCGAGTCCAAACTGGATGGTTTAGATAGGTTGATGCTTGATAAGTAAGTAAAGAAATATCTCATTCTTTGAAATCAACTGCATTAGATTATTTAAGATAAAAACAATGGTTTATATCCCAAGAGGGCTTTATTCATTCTTCTAAATATCTATTTTGATTAATTGTCATATTTCCAGGCGAGTGTGAATTAAATTTGGAGCTATAATTCTGTGAAATAAAAACTTCTTTATGTGTTTTTCTGTTAACAGATTTTATGGAGATTGGTCGATAAATAGAGTCAATTCAGAAAAAGGGAATTCATTTAACGAACGCGTTGGAGATTCTCCTGATAGTACAGATTCAGATGAAAGCAAGGACTTCTCTGGAAAGCCAAGAGGTCTGGTTGGTTTACAGAACATTGGGAATACGTGTTACATGAATGCGGCGCTACAAGCTCTGTCCAATGTGTCTCCCTTAACACAGTTCTTCTTGGATTGTGGCCATATGGTTAGTTATATGTCGAAAGACAGAAAACCTGGATTGAGTTTGAATTATCTGAATCTCATTCGGGATATGTGGAACAAGAAGACCAGAGGATACGTTGTGCCACATGGTATCCTCTCAGGAATCCGAACGGTTCATCCAATGTTCAGAGGATATCATCAACATGATACACAAGAATTTCTCAGATGTTTTATGGATCAATTGCATGAGGAGCTAAAGGAGCACATCGAAGACGACAGGGATATTCAGCTGTGGTTGAAAGGTCTGGGTGATCAGTCCTCGGAAGATGAAGATGAGACCGAGATTGATGGGAATGCTTCTAGCCAATCCGATGCCGAATACGAGACCTGTGACTCGGGTGTGAGCGAACAGAGCTCTCTGAGTGATGAGGGTGAACGCGGCACAAAGAGACGCTATTCTCGCGTGTCGCAGACGGAAAAGCTGCGGAATAAATTCACCAGCAGGAACATGAAGAAGTCGAATGTCGAGGCGGCATTGCCGTTTGCTCCGCCGCAACGTTCGCCGCAGAACTCACCGGCGAAGCATCGCACCAAAAAACAGATGAAAACGCGCAGCATCATCAGTGATACGTTTGATGGCAAGCTTTTGAGTAGCGTGCAGTGCCTAACGTGCGATCGGATTTCTACTCGAGTGGAAACTTTCCAGGATTTATCCTTGCCCATCCCGAGCAGAGATCACATTGACATGTTACATCAAGGATCTCTGACGCCACAAAAGGCTGGGCCATGTTCGGACGTGGTTTACGTGACTAATCAATCGGGTTGGCTATCATGGTTCCTGCAATGGATGCGCTCGTGGTTTTGGGGACCAGTGGTCAGTCTGCATGACTGTCTCTCAGCATTTTTTAGCGCCGACGAGCTCAAAGGCGATAATATGTATAGTTGCGAGAAGTGTAATAAGCTGCGCAATGGTATCAAATTCTCCAAGGTCCTGGAACTGCCTGAGATATTGTGCGTTCATTTAAAAAGGTTCCGCCATGAATTAATGTTCAGCTCGAAGATCGCAAACTACGTATCTTTCCCTCTCGAAGGTCTCGACATGAGACCTTATTTGCACAAGGAGTGCGTATCCAAGGTCACCACCTACAATTTGATATCGGTCATATGTCACCATGGTACGGCCGGCGGTGGCCACTACACCTGTTATGCGCTGAATTCCATTGCTAACAAGTGGTATGAGTTCGACGATCAGTGCGTCACGGAGGTATCACCGGAAACGGTGAAGCATTGCGAGGCGTACGTGTTGTTCTACAAGAAATGGTCGCCGGAAATGTTGCAGTTACGTGACAAAACTATGGAGCTGATGGAAATTTCATCTCGTGAGGTGTCTGATTTAAACTTCTTCGTGTCCCGGCAGTGGATTAACCGTTTCAACACGTTCTCCGAACCCGGTCCGATCGACAACTCCGACTTTCTCTGTCCACACGGGGGAGTGATCCCTGTCAGAGCGCAATTCGTCGACAAGCTCAGTATGCCTATACCACAAGCTGTTTGGGAATACTTGTATAACGCGTAAGTTTGTTACAAGATTGTGACATTATTGTTTCTTTTTACATTTTTTCTATTGTTTCTTTGTACCTTTATACTTATACATAACTTTTCTATTTATTTTCGTAGATTTGGAGGAGGCCCAGCTTGTACACATCTGTACGAGTGTCCGACTTGCGAAGAGAAATACGAATCTTTGCAGAAACGTAGACAGTATGAAATGGAACTATTTCAACGGTTGAATACCGATAATCCTACAGCCATTTATGCGTTGGCTATGGCTTGGTTAAGACAATGGCAGAGCTTCGTCCGAGGCAAGGAAACACAGCCACCAGGACCAATCGATAATAATTCCATCGTTGTAAATAAAAATGGACAAAATAGTCTTAAAGTTGGTGAGTCTTATCTTGTTGTTGAACTACAATTGCCAGATTGCTAGAAAGAAATTTAATTTTTTTTTTCATATGTTCTCTTTTGTCGCAGGTTCGGATTATGGCCAGATCCCCGAAGAATTGTGGCAGTTTTTCCTGACTACATACGGCGGTGGACCAGAGCTAATGCTGCACTCGTGTCAACGACCGGTGCCCGCTCAGCCTAATGTTTCTATACATTCCGCGTCAAATCCAAATTTGATGGATCCAAATCTTAAATGCAATCTTCGCGTAGAAGCTAAGTCTAACAAACTTTGTACGACCAGGAGCTCGGAAACGATTTCGCAACAGGACAGCGCGATCGAGAGTCTAATTTCAAGCAGCGACTCTCATCAGACGCAAAGGGATGTGAGTGAGTGAGTAAGCCATGCGATTTTGCAGTCTCGTTCATTACAGACATTTCCATTGGTTTTTTTTAAGTTAGCATTTAAGTAATTTAATTCTACTTTTTCGAAATTCCACGCTCCTTCTCAAGTTTCATGCTCAGATTGACGTCCCTATTAGATTTTTGCATACAAAACGATCTCGATACTTTGGAACTAAAACAATCGCTGTCGTTTTGTGATTTAAAAATGACAAGACAATCGGATAGTTTTGTACCAGTAGCGATTTTTGTACAAAATTTGTACAGCTGAATTGTGTATTAAATCTGTATGAAAGTATTCGTGTCATGAACAATGAGCTATATGATTATATGATCGAATGACTGCGTTTTGTCATAATATCTAGCGTAATACTGAGGACAACTATACATTTTATCATATATATAGCGACATATTAATTCTGCTTTAAAAATCTGAAGATACAACAAGGTTTAGTTCGCTAAACCGGGAAAGTGATCGAGGAATATCATGTTCGAACACGCGGCATGTTTCTTCCTTTATTTCTAAGTCGTCGGTTTTTTGGAAAGTGGAATGACATTGATTGTTTTAAGTCCAGTGCTTTGATAAAATCGTGATTGTGCTCGTTCAGCGGCGTGGAATTTCACCATGCGATTTAATTGATGGGAATATTGTATATGATGGGAAACGTAGTTATAGTACAAAAAAGATTCGCTAATAGATGACTACATAATTATTTAAATACACATCTTAGTTCGTATTTTTTGCCCAAAGTCTAGGTAACATCGCGCGACTTCGGTATAGTTTAATCATATTTTCGATGTTTGTATATTGCCGGCGTGTGCGTGTGTATGTCATTCCTGCACGTAAATACACAAGTGACTTTCTTTATCTCTTTTCTTCTCCAAGTTTATCTATATAAAGTCGTTACTTCTTCTCCGTTGATGGTAGCCTTTCATCCGGAAAGAAAAAACACAGTATAAGGAAGACTGACAAGTGGATTTTATTTAAAAAGAAAGAATGTTCTGATAATTATACGGTAGCGGCAATTTAGTCACGGAATCAAACGCGGTGATGCAAAGAACTTTGATAATCTTTATATCTTGTTTTTAAACAGAGGAAATTATTATTGTTTATTATTTAGTAAATTTATTATTGTAAACATATTTCTCATAGTATTCACAGAGCCAGCAAAAATTCCCCGTGACGTATAATTCACCGATTCCTTTCTTAAACATGAAGCCTTTTTTGAACATGAAGCAGTTGAGCTTTGCAATTATTTGTTTAAGCGACAAAACGTGCTTCTTAAGGCTCCTTAAAGTTTCCTATAGCCGCGTTAACCTGACATCAGAAAGATAACTGGAATTTTTTCTTTGCATTATATGTCGAGATAGATTAATTTTTTGCGTGCCATCACGTTAAGTATAACAGAAAAATTTTATCTTATCTTTTTTGCCTTCTTCTGGCAAAATTTTTACATAATGTTCAAGTGTTTATCGAGCATGATATGTCATCCATATATATATATATATATATATACACATAAGAAGAAGTCGCTATGCTTTATAACATTTGAGAATTAGTTTGGATATTGGACATCGGTGTTCACGATAAATTATATCACGTTCTCTACACATTTTTATAATAAATACTATTTTTATATGTCATATAATCATTTCTTATATCTTCAATAAAATATCTAAACAATTAAATAATTTTATAACTATTTAACTTATTTATATCGAGATTGTAAAACAATGCCTATTACGATGCAGAAAAGTAGAAGCTAAAACATTGTGCTATATAAACACTTGACGATTATGCTCGATAAATACTTGAACATTTTGTATTAAAAGTGCACACTCATATTTTTCTTTCGTACTTACGGAAGCGTGTTTTATCGCTTAGACCATTAAATGCGTTTCGTTACTTTCACTCGTAAAGAATGAAAAAAGTCGCGTGTCACGAGCTTTCCTTGGAAGCTCAGTTTGATGTTCTCGTAGATGCTGTTTCGTTGCTGAGGATACTTGTAACGAGCGTTCATTTTAATATGACACCACAATTGCACGTTGCGAGAAAGTAAAATAAAAAACGCAATGCAATTTGAGTTTTGCTCGCAGGGACGCAAACAATTGTAAAGAATTGTTAAGGCTAATTATCTGTAATCATTATTCAGAGCGAAATGCATAAGAAGAATAATGAATAAGTTGATTTCTTTATTTATTAAAATATCCAGATTACATCATTTCCAAGCAAAATGTACACTTTTTTTTTGTAGTTTAAAAAATAGGAATTCCGATTAATTTTTTATAAAAACATGGAATTTATCACTTTATAGTAATTCGTCTTTTTTATCACGATTTACTGTAAAATAAATAAAATTCCCCAAGTAGAAATGCTCATCACGACTGATTGGAACAATATATTAATCTTAAATCAATATATTAATCTTAAATTTTAAATCACAGTGTTACAGAAGATTTTTCTCCGGGATATTACGCACCAACTGTAACTCTCATCTCAAAAATTTAACTAAGAGCGCCACATCTAATTTATTTCTATTTGATGCAACAAAATTGTGTGATTGATAATGATATGACGAATAAAGTGATCAGAGCGTTCCTTTGAAGACGACTATGCCCGTATCTCTCCAGCTCCTGTACCTCTCCAACTCTCAAATTTCGATATCTTCTTATATCAGGCTTCGAGAACTGCGCGATCTCTTTGTTATTTTATAAAAGGAAGCGAAGATGCTACGAAGATGCCTTTCGATCAGTTTTGCGAGATGATAGTCTGTACTTATGAAGCTTAAAGGGCGCGGGTTTTATCCCACCCTCATTTCCAGGAGAAGAGGGTGCGCGGATGACAGCATCATATGAGAGGCACGCGCGAGATGATGGTACGTCTCCCTCTCTCGTCTGGAGCATCGATCGAATCCTGCGCATTCGGGGGCGACTGGCCATATTACCCCCGTGATCTCCCGATCCCTTAAACGCCGCCGTGTTCCCGCTGCTGGTCGATGCCGTGGACCGAGAGGTTCGCCGCGATTTTGGCGTCGCAAGTCGCGGTGTAAATCGTAGATGAACGTCAGCATCGTCGTCATCATGCGGCTCCATAATCCGAGTAGTTAGGTAACGCGCATTTCATCTCGTTTCCTTTTCGCCCTTTTCTTCCCTCTCACTTCTACATGAAGCCTCGCTTTCGACCGGGGTCGCGGCCGTTTTTAGTTTAGTCATTTCTGATATCGTTGCGCGAAATTCGATTGGGAATAAAGAAGCAGGGATCTCCCAGGAGGAACGTCCAGAGCGGGCACCAGATTCGCCGTTTGGTAAGCACGATTGTCCCATTGATAACATCGATACAAACTAATCTAAGACATTAAGGACACTAAGACGTTCCGTACCGTCATCCTATATAACGTGGATGAAGCCCGCTCGATGTACATCCACAATGTATCCCTCTTACACGTCGCAATCTACATATCCTTCAGTAATACAATCTACCTTCTTTACTTATTACTTTATTGTCTTATTATTTGTACCGATGCACGATTTACAACCTCGACAGCCGAAGTAATGCCTGATGCCCCAATCGCCTCGCTAGGAAATACTATTCTTCACTTCCTCAGTCACTGTATGTCTCTAGTCTGCGCGCGAGATCGCGTCTGTAAGGAATTAAACATATCGCCGTAGAAGCAACAGATAGAGAGAAATGGCGAATTTCCGTGGATTTTATATACCTTCCTTCGGAGCAACGGTCAACGTCGCCTGGGAGACCTTGAAGGCCGTATGGCCGGAAAACAGTCCGTGTATGGAGTTGATCCGCGGCGGCGGCGGCGGCGGCGGCGGCGGCGGCGGCGGCGGCGGCGGTGGAGGTGATGGTGGTATGGGTCAAGGACATCCCCAAGGCCGAGGTGGTCCAGGCCAGTTCAAGTCGTTCGAGGAAGGTCACGACAACACCGAGATGATGACCATGAACGGGGATCAGGCGTATCGAGATCAAAACACCGTGGAGATGGCCGAAGACTCCTTTAGTTACCAAAGGAACGGGTAAGGATGATATTGGTATGCGTTTCCGAGCCGGCTTTTCTTTCGTATTCAGATTCAATTGATCGTATTGTTGTTCCGATTTTAGGGATAAAGTCAGAACCGGAAGTATGAGCAGCGGAGAATTCAGCGAGTACGACGAGGGTGGCGGAGAGTTCGGTGGCGCGGGCGTCAAGATCAACGAATGGCAGGCCGCTTGGAACGTTACAAATGCCATTCAGGTATAGGATAAAAAAAGAATCTCAAGATAATTTTACATGATAAACCATTATCCGAGTTTCTCTAAAGAAGAAGATAAAAAATGTTATTGCGATATTATTAGTAATCATGTTATAAAAGTGTTAAAAGGCATTATTATTTTATTACAATTGTACTTTCCTGTAAATTAACTGTTTTCTTATGAATTTCTCAGGGAATGTTCATCGTTTCCCTGCCGTTTGCCGTTCTGCGTGGTGGTTACTGGGCGATTGCCGCTATGATTGGTATCGCGCATATCTGCTGCTACACCGGTAAAATCTTAGTCGAGTGCCTCTACGAGCTGGACACGGTGACGGGTCAACGTGTGCGCGTACGAGATTCGTACGTGGCCATCGCCAAGGAATGCTTCGGGCCGACGTGGGGCGCTCGCGCCGTCAACATCGCACAGATCATCGAGCTGCTGATGACCTGTATTCTGTACGTGGTCGTGTGCGGCGATCTGATGATCGGCACCTTTCCCGAGGGCGCGATCGACACCCGCAGCTGGATGATGCTGATCGGCATTTTTTTATTGCCGCTCGGCTTCCTTAAATCTCTGCAACACGTTTCCGTGCTGAGCTTCTGGTGCACGATGTCTCACCTCTTCATCAACGCGATCATCATCGGTTACTGTATCCTGGAGATTGGTGACTGGGGCTGGTCGAAGGTGAAGTGGACGATCGACATGGAGAATTTCCCGATCTCGCTCGGCGTAATCGTCTTCAGCTACACGTCGCAGATCTTCCTGCCGACCCTCGAGGGCAATCTCATTGATCGCTCCAAGTTCGATTGGATGTTGAACTGGAGTCACATCGCCGCGGCCGCGTTTAAATCGCTCTTCGGCTGGATCTGCTTCCTGACCTTCCAAAACGACACGCAGCAGGTGATCACGAACAACCTGCACTCAGCCGGTTTCAAGGGTCTGGTGAATCTGTGCCTGGTGGTCAAAGCGGTGCTCTCGTATCCGTTGCCGTATTACGCAGCCTGCGAACTCCTGGAGCGCGCCTTCTTCCGCGGTCGGCCAAAAACGATTTTCCCGACTATCTGGACGGTGGATCGCGAGCTCAAAGTCTGGGGTCTGGCCTGGCGAGTCGGCGTGATCGTGTTCACCATTCTGATGGCAATCTTCATACCGCACTTTAGCATACTAATGGGTTTCATCGGCTCTTTCACCGGTACCATGCTCTCGTTCATTTGGCCCTGCTACTTCCATCTGAAGCTGAAGAGAAACTCGATGGAGTGGAGCGCCGTTGCGTATGACTGCTTCGTCATCTTTCTCGGTATTCTCTTTGCTATAATCGGCGTCTATGATTCCGGCTCCGCGTTGATCAATGCCTTCGAGATCGGTCTGCCCTTCTAAGTGATCTCGCATCAGCTAGGTCATCTTGTTATTTTTGTCTTGCACCAAAATGATAAGGAAATCGCTCTCGGATCGCCGAAATATTTGACTCTCGATTCTAACATATTGCTCAGTATTTGTGCAATAATTGCTGACACATGCAGGAGACTACGTAGAATTCGGAACACATACTCCGAAGTAATAATAGAACTTTGTGCTTTGAAGAAACTAGAAAGCTTTCTGGATAATAATACTTGTCTTACAAAGTGTGCTGAACTAAGAAAACGTATATTATCACATGAGATTCCTCTCAGCTATGAATGCCATTTCATGAAATTTCTTATAAAAGATGTCTCTATGTTTGAAACATATCAGTGAATCGTGAATCAAATATTTCACATGCTCGAAGGCGATTAATTAGTATGAGAATTTTGCATTACATGTACCTACACCATTCCTTGCCACATCATTTTATCGTCTTTTTTTTTTACAAAGTGGCGTTTGCGCGCAGTTACATTTCTTTAACGATCAAATGATCAAAAAATGCAAACGTCATACGATTCATTTCCTTCACTATGGTAACTTTGAGCGATCTATTTTTAGAAATATGAATCAAAATTAGACAAGAACGTACTATTTTCTAAAGATAATTACAATATTCTCTTTCGGAGCAGGAACTGTTGGCTGACACTAGAAAGCGTTTTAAAATTTCGTTGTACATTTCAATCCGGATTGCAACGCGAAGAATTATCCGTCTTCCGATTTGTTTTCCATTCGGGAAGCCTGTAGAGAAAATAAGAGATCTAACGCGCACTGAATGTGATAATAAAGCGCGCCTGACGATGTCTTCCATGATGCAGCAACAAACAGAGCGCAGCCTAACTAGTAGTTGACTACTGTTACAGTTTTCTGGATTTTATAATTGTATTGCTGCGAAGTTATACCCGTATATAATTTTTATGCGACGCGTTGAATTGCGAGTCGCGACGACGGGACGCGCGGCGATTAATTAATCTTGATTACGATTTCGTCACGCTACATTAGCGATAGCTGTTCAGTCAAAATGACGAATCTATCAGATACCAACTTTGGAGTAGCCTGCTGTGCCGTCCCGTCGCCGTATAAACGAGACGCAAAACGATGCGTGAACAGTTATGTACAACCGAGTACAATTAGTTGTATAATCCAACGTCTTCCAAGATCGTATAGATCACACGTTAGTTTAAGGAGTATAGATAACGTAGTCGTTTCGTGAAGCTGCAGAATGCTGCGATGACTCAACAAGTTTTATATATTTATTTTATGTAGATGATTAAGTACACACGGTGTAATAACTTTTTGGACTCACAAATCATTAAGTTTGTAAATTTTGAATTTCAACATCCACGGATCTTTAATATAATGTTTAACAATGTGGATATTTAATTTTATAGATCTTTGGATTTCCAAATTAGAGAGATTTGTTAATCTATAAGTTCTTTCGTATCTTTTAAATCAAATATTACTTTTAAAAATCTTTAACTCTACAGATCTTTTATTCTTTTTCGAGGTCATATTCACGTGCATTCTGCAGACATGGAAAATTTGCAGACTAATTAAAATGCGTAATAACTGCGTCTTCCAATAATGAAATAAGTCTTCCAATAATGAAACGAGTCTTCCAATAATGAAACGAGTCTTCCAATAATGTCTCCCAGAATGATATTGATGAAAAACAATATTATATTACTATATATGATAATGATGTATGTATTACTATTTATTGAGCAAAGGTCTTTGTCGGATATGATATTAAGCATTATATTGAGAGTTGTAGATGTTAAGAGTTAACTCGTAAGGCTATGGTCAAGCATAATTGATGTTTCATCAATGAATATATCATATCAATGAATATATCAATGAGACATAATGTAAGTAAAAAATCACGCTGTTCACGAAATCAATTTAGATTGTTAACGAGGGATCATCTTACTTCTTTATATCAACAATAATTACAAAAAGTGATTGAGTGAGAATTATGTTGGGGAATCTTCTCTTCGTGATTATGAGACAATGATGGATTGGATAATATCTGTTATATAAAACTTAATTTTTGCGTTTTGATATATTGTTATCATTCTGAGAGAAAAATAGAATACGATGTAAAATTCGTCATAGATTCAAAAGAGAAGCTGTAGATTGGACTATTGAAACTAATCACGAAGAGATATATCGAGGACTGATGTCTTAAAACAAACAAGTATAGGCTTTTAACATGCTTTTGCAGAAATACCCATATTTTGCAGCGTTTCGAGAAGAATAAACTTCATCGGTGTTATGTAGGCAGAATATACCTATAAACGTTATAAAATGATGTAAAGCGGCCTCCATATTATGACAAATATGAAAATACATTATCCGTATAAGTACGAGGAATGATAATATATTAACAAAATTTTATAGATGTATACTTCACTTAGTACTTTACCCGGTAATATTTATTTCTTTAAAGAATTATTACAATTTGTTTCCAGAACTACATTAAATTTCGTTTCAAAGTTTTTTCGCTTATTCGGACGCATTTATTTGCGAGGGAAAAGGATATTGAAGAGATATTTCGTCAGTCAATAATTAGATTTATTAACAATGCTTTATTACTATCTGTCACATTAGAATAATCTCAGAAATGCAAAAACTATGATTGAAAGTAATAGAACTGTGGAGGCTTGAAATTTCAAACATTGGATATGGCATCATCACTTTTTTTAAATAAAGAAATAAAAAAAAAGATTTATATAATTATATAATAAACTGAACAAATCTGTTTCGAAAAAATACTCTGAAGAAAAATCTTTCAGGTCTCTCACTTATACACTGTCGTCATTTTTGACGAGTCTAATTACTATCTCTATGATATACGAAATATAAAAAATTAATACTCGAATGTGTGCGTATATATTCTATATGATTTTATTTCTTTAAAGTAATAACAACTAACAATAATTAATTCAAGACATGATTTTAATCACATGAGCCTCCAAAAGTCATCTAATAATCTGTCAACGAATCGTCACAAGCACAACGAGAGAAATAAAAATAAAAAAAAACGCAAATAACATTAATCAATGCAACGTAAATAAATATATATAAAACTATATAAATTCAAATAACATAGTCAATCGATAAAAGTTACTTTTATTCGAATATTAAATATAATCATTATTAACTGTTAAATCTAGTTAGAATTCGTTAATCTCACAACTATTTTTAATCTGAAACATTCCACTTTTTTATTGCTTGTGCCAAAATATCCTTTGATTGTCACTTGAACAAGAGAGAATTTTTCTTTCAGATTATATAATTTTATAAAAATTCGCAAATGTTATACCACAGTAATTGTTATTTCTACTATTTTTGTTTTTCTGTTACAAAAGCGCTGTTTTTCTATTAACGTAAAATTGTGCACATTACATACATACATCCATACACACACACGCGCGCGCGCGCGCGTGTTGTGTATGTATGTAGTTGTGTATGTATGTATGTATGTATGTATAGCTATTTTATATATATATATATATATAT